GCCCTTGAGAGGTGATTAGATCGTGAGGGTGGAGCCCTCAGGAGTGGGAATAGTGCCCTTATAAAAGAGATCGCCCAGAATTCCCTGCCCTGCAACCATATGAGGACACAGCAGAAAGATAGCCATCTATAAACCAAGAAGTGGATTATCAGCAGACACCAAATCTGCTGGTGCCTTGATCGTGGACTTTCCAGTCCCCTAAACTGTGAGAAATAGATGTTTGTTGTTTATAAGCCATCCAGTATATATGGAAGCTTGCTGTAGCATCCTGAACAGACTAAGACAAGGACCACAGACAGGGTGGTCAGGGAAGAACTCTGATGAGGGGATATTTAAATGGAAACCTGTTGAATGAGGAGACAGTCATATAAAAGAACATTTCAGGCAGAAAAAACAGCAAGGGTAAAGGCCCTGAGGCAGGCAAAAGCTTGGCATCTTCTCTGTCCCTAAAGAGGCTGGTGTGGCTGGGGAGAGGTAAGGGGATACGAGATGATGGTGAAGAGGCAGAAGGAGAAGAAATAAAATACCTAATAGAAGGTATCCAGTTGAAGAGTCAGCAGCTCTTGGATTTCTTGTCATAGAGATGGCATGGCCTCAGGAAAATGGGAAAAGGAAAGCGAAGATATTTTTTTTTTAAGATTTTATTTATTTATTTTAGAGAGAAAGAGAGTGAGTGGGAGCAGGGGAAGGGGGAGAGGCAGAGGGAGAGGGAGAGCGAATCTCAAGCAGATTCCATACTGAGCCCAGAGCCCAACATGGAGCTCGATCCCATGACCCTGAGATGGTGACATGAGCCGAAATCAAGAGTCGAGGGCTTAACCGACTGAGCCACCCAGGTACCCCAGGAAAGCCCAGATTTCTTAAAGGAAAAGATAACATTGACTGTAGGCTTTCATTTAAAGGAAATTTGGATCAACTCACCAAAAGGACTTATGTGAGATCCAACCTGAGGGCCAGCAGTCAAATCCCAGGTCAACAATCTCTCTCCACTGTGACCCTGAAAGTGGAGGTGGTGCATCTGAGAAGTCTGAGTTCCCCTTGCAGAGGACAGAAGGATGTAATGAGCCTCGGTACTAGACAGAGAGGATCTGAATGATGCTTTCCCTGGTGGAGCCATGCTAAGCGTCCAGCCATTGGCAGCAGTAAGTAGGAGAAGTAGGCATTGAAATGACAGCGGTGGTGGCAACAACAAACTGTTAAGTAATGACAAATTCTGTACAGATGTTGACTTACTGTAAATACTGAGGAAAGAGAAAAACTTAATTGCTTCTCCCTCTCCCTGCTACTCCTCCTGATTGGGCTCACTCTCTATCTCTATGGCAAATAAATAAATAAAATCTTTAAAAAAAATAAAGATAGAATTTAGAGATCGTCCATCTATCCCTCCCTCCCAATCAGAAACTTCAATCACTGTCACTTCTACTAAATCAGAATTAAAACTGAACTTTTGACTCTTGAAGAAACAGTATCAACAGTGGTAATAATAATAATATTACAATTCTATTAGGGCTCAGTATGTGCTTTGAATAGGGTAACCATATAATTTACTGTCTGAATTGCGACACTTTTGAGAGTGAAATTATTATTTATTATGCCAAGAAAGCGGGCATAAATAGGGATGGTCCTGGGCAAACGTATGGTTTCATAGCTATGAACCAATTTCTCACTATTACCTCACATGACAGAGGGCTAAGGGAGCTCTCTGTGGTCTCTCTTGTAAGGGCACTAATCCCATTCATGAGTGCTCCACCCTCATGACCTAATCACCTCCCAAAGGCCTCACCTCCAAATACCATCCCATTGAGAATTAGGTTTTAATATACAAATTGGGGGTGGGGGTGGGGAAACAAACATTCAGTCTAGAGCATCTTAGAGTAAGGGATTTAATTATCCCTAATTTACAGATAAAGAAACAAATTACAGAAAGTGATATACTACTGATCTTTAAAATCATAATGCAGGACTTTTGTGTATTCATTTGAATTCCTCCAGAAAAATGCCAGTCAGTGTTGCAGGACTAATTAAAAAGGTGAACTGATTCCACAGCCCCGTCCAAATACACTCCAGTACCTATGCATTTAAATTCTCTTTTATTAGTGCTTTGCCAATCATCCAGCCTGTGTGTTTTATAGATGATGAAACCGAGGTCCAGAGAGGTGAAAAAATTTTCCTGAACATAGCATACGGGTCTTGAAGCTGCAACTAATACATATGGTCTCTTCACTCTACTGGCTCTATTCAAATTCTCAAGAGCAGTTTATGGAAATGAATATCCCATTGTATGTGCATAAAGAAACGACAGCTGTGATGTGTGTCAAACTACTTGAGAAGAATTTTGAGAGATTGACATCACGTTTTAATCTGTGTAATGAAGATAAATGCTGCAACTGTGATTTAATGTATAGGAAATGAGGTCTCTCAGTAATGGGTCACAGACTCATTCTACACTGGGTAACTGTCTCCATGACATAGAGGACAACAGAGATGATGCAGACATTCCCAGAGCCCCACTCGGGGTTTGAACTCACGACCAGAGATCATGACTTGAGCCAAAATCAAGAGTGGGATGCTTAACTGACTGAGACACCTGGGCATCCCAGTGCCCTGTTGTTTTTCCTCTGCTTCTGTGATTATGACAGCGTGTGTCAAGATGAAGCCTGTGTCAGCCTGTTTTCCCAAGTGACTACAGTGGGCAGAGCCCCTTGGCTGGACCAGGATAGACAAGTAGGAGAAATGAGAAACTTTAAACTACTGAAATTTTGAGTTTGTTTGTTACTGCAGCACAACCTAGACTATCCTACCTGATCCACAGTCTACTTATTCTCTCTGCTAGTTTGGAATTCATACCTTGTGTTTCCATTCTTTTCATTGTTTACCCTAGAAATTCTCAAATGCATAGTAAACGTAGAAAAGTCTAATCAATACCTTTTAGTCATCTCTTGAACACTTGGCAATTCACATCACTTCCAAATTATGTTCCTGATGTATAGTTTAATTTTAACTTCTTAATTCAATAAGACATTATTGCTTTATAGAGTCAAAACACTTTTTTATTTGCTCACATGTTTATCATCACCTTTTTAAAAATTCTTTCCTGAATTTCAGACTTCTATTGAGTAGCTTTTCTCTCTCACCTGAAATGCATGCTTAGAATTTTTTTTAATGAAGGACTGCTGGTTGTAAACTCCATTAGGTTTTGTTTTATTTTATTGTTTTGTCTGCAAATGCCTTATTTTACCTTCATTTTTAAGTGACAGGATAAATAATTCTAGGTCGGTGTGTTGAGAAATCAGAACTAGTGTATTCAATTAAGATTATGACCTGCTGAAGAGGAGACACAAGACATCCACATGGCCAGGTTACTCCCTCAACATTCCAGCTGCCACTCTGGAGAAATGAAAAGCCCAGGGTGCAGTTTCAGGACATGTACATAAAAGCAAAGTCATAAGATTTGTTACTTACATTCCCAGAAATGGGGAGATGGAGAGTTGCGGGGAGAGGATGGGTCAATGGTATAATGAACCAGGGGAAGGGGCAGTCCTCAGGAGTCGGCAGGAGATAGAGAGCAAGGTAACAAGTACCTATCCCTTCAAAGGTGGTTGGTGTGGAGGTCACTAACTTTTCACTGGCTCAACTCTAAGTGGCTATTTTATTTTTGAGAGGTGAGGGGGAGGGGCAGAGGGAGGAAGACAGAGAATCTTAAGCAGACTCCTCGCTGAGCGAGGAGCCTGATGCTGGGCTGGATCCCAAGACCCTGAGATCATGACCTGAGCTGAAATCAAGAGCTGGATGCCTAAACCATTGAGCCACCCAGGCGTCTCTCAGAGATTCTCTTACCTGAATAAAGGCAGATTCTTCTGAGAGTGAAGCTACCCTAAATCCCCACTGGGGGAGTTTTATAGCCTGGAAGAAGACAGACCACTCACACCTGCATAAACAAACATTATCACAAACTGTCTTACTTCCCACTTGTTCCCTAAAAGTTTATCTCTCCCAAAAACACAAAAACAAGACCCCATTTATTTCCTACAGAGCCCCTTTCCCTCCCTTTCTTCCCCTGTGAAGTTAATATAGAAACCCTTATCCCTTGCTGTTCAGGGAGCCACTTCTTTTTTGCTCCAACACAGGCACAGGAATAACATTGTCTATTTTCCTGTTAATCTGTCCTTTTTTGGTCAGTGACTTTGCAGGCTTTCTGACATGAACCTAAGTGGTTAGGAAAAGTTTTCCTCCCAACGCCACTCCAGATGATATGAGTGCTATGTAAGGACTAAGAGAGACCAAACCTGGGTGGAGGGTAGGGTGTTGAACAAATTACAGGAACATGAAAGTAAAAGCTCACACCATACCACATCTTCCTCAGCCCCACTTGCACTTTCCAATTCATATGCATTAGCAAATCATGCTGACTTGACTAAAGATTTCTTGGATATCATGTGACAACATAATAAAAACACTTCCCTTTAAAGAATTCTGTTCTTTCCACTAAGGTCCCTCTCTTCTCTCCTCTTCTCCTTTCTTCCCCTCCCCAGGGTTTCAAAACTGCCTACTTTTTCAGTTCAGGTTTTTCGCAAAACAAAAGCCTGGGAAGTCCTTTACTTCCCTCCTACTTTTTAAGGAAGTCAGAGATGGCTCAGTGTCAATGAAACAGATTCTTTTTTTTTTTTTTAAGATTTTATTTATTTATTTGAGAGAGAGAGAATGAGAGACAGAGAGCACGAGAGGGAAGAGGGCAGAGGGAGAAGCAGACCCCCTGCTGAGCAGGGAGCCCGACGCGGGACTCGATCCAGGGACTCGATCCAGGGACTCCAGGATCATGACCCGAGCCGAAGGCAGTCGCTTAACCGACTGAGCCACCCAGGCGCCCAATGAAACAGATTCTTTATGGAGGACCTCAGCACCACCCTATGTGAGCCATCACTAGAGATAGCATTTATCATACTTCCAAGGACCTCTCCAAGCCCTCTGTACATCTTACCTTATTTTGTCCTCATAATAAATCTAAGACGTACATATCATCACCTTCATTTCAGGGATGAGGAAACTGAGGAACAGGGAAAGAAATTCAGTTCTATAACTTGCCCAGCTCTTCAGATGCTAGATCAAAATTTGGACTGAGACAATCTAAATCCAGAGCATGGAGAGAATGGTGATTATTCTCACTCCAGAGGAATTGAAATTGTCACCCAGCAAAGACAGGTCTCTCTGGAGGAGGTGTAAAATCGTATAAAATTTCTGGACATGACAGGCTCCACTTGAAGCTCCATTTCCCCTTCTAATGAACTTTTGAGCTGAGCAGAAAGACCTTTGAACTGGGCCAGACACAGTAATTGTTTTACAAGCTGTTGCATATAAAGTCAACGGAACACCTGGCATCTGGATCATAAAACGGCCAGTGTGGCCTTTGATGACAGGTAATTAATTCATGCAGATCAGGAATCGTGTGGTGTGATGACACCCGTACGTTAGTCAATCCAAGTGTAAATCAGCAGGGCTTAATCTGTCAGTGCCTTCCCCTCCCTGATTCAGGTCAGGTACTTGCCCCGCTGTCCGTCTTTTTCCCGAGCACCCTGATTTTCCTGTGTAGGAGGACGCTTTTCGGGGCATTCTGGAATCTGTTCTCCAAAAAAAAAAAGCAATCCTGAGACTCCCCAGTAAAGGCTTTTGTTCTTTTTCAGTTTTGCCTCTGTTTCTTGGTAGACAGAGGGAATTTTGCTGCTAAGAAATATGATGTTTTCCATTTTTTCTCCAAAAGGGATTTGAGTGTTTTTTTTGTTTTTTAAGTAGGTTCCAATCCCAACATGGGGCTCAAACCTGCAACCGTGAGATCAAGAGTCCCATGCTCTAGTGACTGAGCCATCCTGACATCCTTTGGGGGTTTGGTTTGGCTTTAGTTCCTCCCTTCAACTCTCACCTTCCAGGAGCAGTTGCTGTGGCCAAGAACTGCTACACACCCACCTTCCACACCCAGGAGAGCTGAAGTGGTCAGCACTGGGCGAGGTCGCATGTCTCCTCCTCCTTCCTGCCTGGGCACTGTCCCACTGGACCCCAGATCTGCGCTGCCTTCCAGCCTCACCCCCCTCCCCACAGAAGAGGTGCTGTTGGAATTCCAGCCGCGCCAGGACTCCTGGGGAGAGAGAGGAGACCTCCCTTTCCCTGCTGCTCTGGTGATCACACGTTTATGTGTCCTTTGCAAACCTCCAAGCATATTTGGTGAAAATGCTCCCCCCCCCCCCCGAGATGATGAGGGCTTTGCTGGGCTTCAGGCATCAGCACTGTAGTGGCTTTCTCTGCTGCTCCTTGTGAACCACCAGACAGATGAGATTCACCTGGTACGGTTCCTCTAGGCCAAGACTCACCCTTCCCAGCAGTCCTGAAAAAAGAGTGGTGTGGATGATTCCCTACAATGTCCCTTCCTCACAAGGCCATTGGTTCCCTCTAAAGTGAAACCAAGATCCTCCTCCCACCTATCTTTCCTTGGAAGCCAAGCCCCTTTGTCATCTGTATAAGACTCCCTCCCCAGGGATCCAGGGATCACAGGCACTGGCCTTCTGCTCTGTCCTAGAGACCAAGCTAGAGACCCAGGTCAGTGGCTGAAGAGGTAGTCTCACCACCTCCTCAGCCTCGTATGCATTGGATTGGGGGGACCAGGGTGGGTGAGGTTAGCACCTGAGAAAACTGGGGCTGGGCCAATGTGGGGATGGAGCATGTGGGCTGCAGGGAACCAGTGGTGCGGGGAGAGGGAAGCATCTCTCTTGGAAATACAATGGCATCCCTTTACGATGCTAGTGTTAGGCACTGGGCTGTTTCCCTTGTGTTGGAGGACAACAGGCCTCTGTCCGTCATGATCCTGGAGGTCATGGTGGTATTTCAGGGATGCAGTTCAGCTCATGGTTTATTCAAAAGGATTTTCTAATGAGCGGCTTGAGCACTGGGTATAAATGTATTTATTTTTCAAATGTATTTTATTTATTTATTGTTTTAAAGAATTTATTTATTCATTTGACAGAGAGTGAGAGAGAGCACAGCAGGGGGAGCAGCAGTGGGAGAGGGAGAAGCAGGCTCCCCGCGGAGCAGGGAGCCCAGTGCGGGGCTCTATCCCAGGACCCTGGGATCATGACCTGAGCCCAAGCCAGACACTTGACAGACTGAGCCACCCAGACACCCCCTCAAATGTATTTTAAATTAAAAAAATCTCTAGTATTCAGACACAGGACTGCAAGATTTTAGTTCACTGTCAAGGTAAGCACCCAGAGGCAAAGATCACCTCTCTCTAGCAAGCGGGAGCTAAATGCTCTTGGAGAAGAGTGTATGTGAGTATATCATTACTTGGAAAATTGCGCAGGAGGAGGGAAATCTTTCTGGCTGACCCAAAGGGAGACTGTGAGCCAGGGAGGCCACAGGCAGGAGCTGGGGTTCTTTCTAAGGCAATGCTTTTTCTCTTCTCTCCCTTTCCTGGCTAGGCTCTTCCACAGGAGTGAGACCACCATGGCTCAGGAGAAGTTCTTCAGCCTCTTCCCCCTCCTGGTCCTGGTGCTGCTGGTGCTGGGCTGTGTCCAGCCTTCTCTGGGCAAGGAATCAAGGGCCAAGAAGTTCCAGCGGCAGCACATGGACCCGGACACCTCTGCCATCAGCTCTGGCTATTGCAACCAAATGATGAAGCGCCGGAATATGACAGATGGATGGTGCAAGCCGGTGAACACCTTTGTCCACGAGCCTCTGCCAGATGTCCAGGCCGTCTGCCTCCAGGGAAACGTCGTCTGCAAGAATGGGCAGCCCAACTGCCACCAAAGCAGCTCCAGGATGCACATCACTGACTGCCGCCTGAGGAACAGCTCCAAATACCCCAAATGCCAATATCAGACCCTGCAGAAAGAGAAATCCATCATCGTGGCCTGTGAGGGGGACCCGTATGTGCCAGTCCACTTTGACGCTTCTGTGTAGGTCTCCACCCGAGGCCAGAGCAGCGAGATGCCCCACCTCCCTATGGTAGCACCTGCTCCTCTCCTCTCCCTTCCTTGCTCTGAGGGAAAGAACTCCAGCCAGAGCTCCTATCCAAAACACATGCTTCCCTGCCCAGGGCTTGCCCCTTCGTGGTTTGGAGGGTGAGGTGGGCCCCGTGTGAACCACTTCACTGCTTCTTTCAATAAAACACAGTTGCAACCGCCTGGATTTCTGAAGCTCTCGCCGTCCTGATACTGTCTGTGTGATTGCTTTCCTGCTGGGAGTGAGAACTGCAAATCTGGTTAGCTTGGGTAAGCATGGAATAGAATCATTACATGCCTCTGCTTCTGACTCGGTTTTCAGTGACCTGAGATCATTCCTTTCCTTGGAGATTCCGTGCTGCCAAATGTTAAGCTGTTAAGTATGGGCTATTTGAGGGGCCCCTGGGTGGCTCAGTCGTTAAGCATCTGCCTTCGGCTCAGGTCATGATCTCAGGGTCCTGGCATCGAGCCCCACATCAGGTTCCCTGCTCCGCGGGAAGACTGCTTCTCCCTCTGCCACTTCCCCTGCTTGTGTTCCCTCTCTCTGCCAAATAAATAAATAAAATCTTTAAAAAAAAGTATGGGCTATTTGAGATAAAAGGGAGCTCCAGTTTGGGACTGTCCTGCTGGGTGAGCTGATAAAGGTTGAAGCTCAAATACCAAAATCTCTGGCACAGAAGGAAGGACAGGGTAACCTCAAGAAGACCCTGCTCAGCGCCTGGCTGGGGAGGAGGAGTGGATGAAATTATGATCCTAAATTTTCATTTCCTTTTATTTTTTTAAAGGTTTTTATTTATTTATTTGTCAGAGAGAGAGCGAGCACAAGCAGGGGGAGCAGCAGAGGGAGAGGGAGAAGCAGGCTCCTCACTGAGCAAGAAGCCAGATGCAGGACTCCATCCCAGGACCCTGGGATCATGACCTGAGCCGAAGGCAGATGCTTAACGACTAAGCCACCCAGGCGTCCCATCATTTCCTTTTATTGAGTGAGCTGATTCTGATTACCAGATCAGAAAAATGGCCACCTCTTAGTTGGAAAGTCAGAACCTTCAATTTAGGAGCTAGAGGGGACTGTAGAGATTGTTAAATTGAAGGAGAAGAAGTAGATTTTGACTTGTGTATCCACTTTAATGGGAAGGATCTGCTTAGAATGCTGTAGAAAAACGTCTAATAAGCGATGTGGTTGAAAGCAGGATGGAGGTAAAGGTGTGTGTGCCACTTGCCATCCCTGACCTAATGTAATTCCCATTTTTATAGAGGAACAGCCTTAAACTCAGAAAGGGTAAGTGACTTGCTCATGGCTGCTGCTCATTAGTAGCACAGCTGGGACTAGACCCCCAGGTCTCCTGGCTTCCAGTCCTTGTTCTTTCTGCTACCAGAGTAGACTCAGGAAGAAAATCCTGCAGTCTCCCTTTTCCTAAGAGCGGAGAAGGAGGGCACCTGGGTGGCTCAGTTGGTTAAGGGGCCTACTCTTGATTTCAGCTTAGGTCTCCATCTCAGGATCTCAGGGTCATGAGTTCCAGCCCCTAGTTAGGCTCCACTGGAGGCATGGGGCCTACTTTAAAAAAAAAAAAAAAAACAATTAACAGACAAGCAAAACACCCCTAAGTGCTGTGGGTGGAGCTCTCTCCCTGAGCTCGCTGGTGGCTCTCTCTCGGGTTTCCAGGGCCCTGGGTCTATGAGCGCTCTGTGTCTGGCACCGCTTCTATACAGCCCTTGAAAATGCTGAGACTCAGCTTCTGTCATCACTTCATCATCTCTTTTGACTCCCTGTTTACAGTTGCATCTGGTTCCTAGAACTAGAGAAAGGCCCTACTTCCAACCAGTCTGACCAGTTCTGTCATTGTCCTTATGTACGACATTCATAAATGTTGGAAGAGACTGTGTTTCTCTTAAGTAAAGTGAACCTTTCACTTCTGTAGAGGGGAGAAAGGCTGCGGGTGACAGGGGCCAGACATCCCTGCATTTCTGTGGTGATGGGAAGGAGTCTCACTCCTCACTAGCAGTGAGGATGGAGAAGGAAACTTGGAGTTTCTCGATAGGTTCCTTGAGCCAGAATTTGTCTTAAGTTCATCTCACCCTTATTCCCAAACCCAAAGCTCCTCATTTCCCTCCTGCTGGTGCTAAGAGAACACTTTCCTGGAGCTTTTAAGAACACTCACTTGGGTTTTGCTGCCCTTATATCTGCACATTCACCAGCTCTGGCTTCTGACTCCCTGCACATTCTGGGCCTGGGACTGCTGGGGGCTTCCGTCTGGGGAAGAAAGTGATAGGTGGTGACAATGGTCCAGACCAGCACAGCCGGGGAGCAGGTGGGGAGAGAAAGTGCTCTGAATAGGAGGACACCGAGAGAGGAAAGATAGAGTCCTGTCCTGGAGAGGCTCAGGTACAATCAAGGAGAGAAACACCTCAAATAATCTGGCAACAAATTGGAGGTGTCTGTTCAGTGGGGAGACTATTTCTACCCCACAAAGAAAGGAGTACTAACCCCTTCCAGGAAACTAATCTGGGCAGATTAATTTTAAATTTGAGGTGCTAACATATTAAGGTGAATATCTGCTTGAAGGCAGAAATGGCCATATCCAGTGATTCTTTCAAGGAGGCTAATGCTAATTTCCAGAAAATTCTTCAAAACAAACAAGCTTCAGGAATTCTGCATTCTCAGTGGACAGGTAAGCCCATCTCCATGTCCCAGCTTCTCCTTAATCCTACAGCTGCAAGTGTCCCCTCAAAATCATAGTGTCTTCTGCCTTGCTGATCCTCTCCTGCCTCTCTCAGGGGTAAATTCTTCCTTCAATCTTGAAGCCGATAGCACCCCCAGCCCAGTACTACCCCACGTCAAAACAGATCAGTCCTCCACACCTAAAGGAGTCCTTCACTGAACAGAGTACCTGAGAATCATCCCGGTTCTTTCTTTCCAAGTGCTACCTCATCAGCGTTTGCACTTTGAGCTTTCTAACTGAAAGGAAAGGCCACTCCCAATCCCCACTCTTGTCTTCTTAGACTGATTCAGCCCTCACAGAGCAAGTGGGAACACTAAGAGGGTGCTGAATCTATCCACCATCACTTCCCTATTGCTTTTGGGACTCAATCATAAATGTGGGATGGCCCTCCACCTGCATGATTCATGGTTCATGTTGGAGGGTCCTACAAGGAAGGCACAGAGTGAAAACCTACCTCCTGAGGACGAGACAGGGGCACACTTGGAAGCATCTCAAAACATTGCCAGGAGTCACTTCCTAGGGGACAAGTCGCATAATACCTTTGCAAATCCTTCAGCAAATCCATGGATACGTTGAGTTGCTTCAGGGCTTACATAAGTGTGGGTGAGAAGAGGTCTTCTTGGCCTTCTGCCTCCAAGCTTATCTCCCTTCTCACTCTCTTACTGTCTTCTTAGTTAACAACGAAGAAGGAGTTGTTCATCTGAAGCACAGAGTATCACTGAGCATGTTCTACTAAAGAAGAGGGTGACTGTACTTTAAAGGTCATAACCGCTCTCTGCCATTTTCTAGTTTCTTCTGGAGACAAGTCTGGGCAGGGCCTACACTGCCTACCCGGGATCACTTTCCTTCCTTTTCCACCCTCCGTGAGTCTTCAGCTGGGTGGATAATGGGGCCAGGGCACCTGATTTAGCCCCAGCCCCACTCTCAGCTCCCTGTGTCCCAAGGCAAGTCTACAGCCCTCCTTGGAGCAGTTTTTTAATCGGTAAAATGAGAGGGATGGGTTTGGTAATTTCCAAGTCTCTTACACTGATGACTATCTAGAGAAGCATCCGTTCTCTTCCTAGCAGTGCTGGCCAGGGGCATGTGGTTTTTGGCTACATGTGAGAAGGCATCTCTAGAATAATCACCTCATTGAGATCTGGTTTAGTTCAGACTTCTTCCCTCCGAGCCCTGGGTCATCCAGGCAACTTGGAGCCCCTTCCAGGGAAGAGTCTCTTCTCAGGCAACTTCAGACAGCCTCTGAGAGTCAAAGCTGCAGCTCGCTTCCGCCAGGGCTTGTTAGGCTTCCTGGACCCTGACAGCCCATGAGATTTTCGTTTGGCTCCGATGCCGCAGAGGGGAGAGACGAATGCTGAGGCAAGATTAGGGCAGCAAACAAGAGAACGCAAGAGTGGGACCTGGAAGTTTCTGAGTGTCATTAGAAACATGCCTAATAGAGGTTGGGGGGTGCTTGGCTGGCTCAGTCCATAGAGCATGAGACTCTTGATCTTGGGAGTTGTAAGTTCAAGACCCACACTGGGTGCAGAGGTTACTTAAAAATAAAACCTTTAAAAAAAAATAGAGGTTGAGAGCTGGGCCCTGCTTCAGGCCAGCATGTTTGGCAGCCTCTCTTCCCCACCTCCCTCAAACTCCTCCTTCCCTCCCATAAACACCACTGAACAATTATTTAAGGGGAGGGCTGTCCGATAATGTTGTATGTTGTAGCATAGAGACAAAATCTGTATGTGCATATGGCTAGATACACATGTGATCATGTATATAGACCTGTGAAATTAAGGAGCGTCAGGGCAAGGAAGCCCATTTGTGATCTGGCTCCAAGACCTTCATCTTAAAGATGGAGAAACTGAGGCATGAAACCAAGTATGGAATGAAGAAAACCAAGTCTGTGGATTCCTTGAGTGTGTGCTTTTATGCTTTGCCTGCAAATTTTCGTTCTTTTTTTTTTTAATTTCTAAAAATGATCAGAATAGGAAAATATATCTTTTCCATCTACGATTCTCTGAATTTTAACACACATATAGAATTGTTACCAGATATAGCCAAATTATGGAAAGAGCCTAGATGTCCATCAACAGATGAATGGATAAAGAAGATGTGGTATATATATATACAATGGAATATTATGCAGCTATCAAAAAATGAAATCTTGCCATTTGCAATGACATGGATGGAACTAGAGGGTATTATGCTAAGTGAAATAAGTCAATCAGAGAAAGACAAGTATCATATGATCTCACTGATATGAGGAATTTGAGAAACAAGGCAGGGGATCATAGGGGAAGGGAGGGAAAAATGAAACAAGGTGAAACCAGAGAGGGAGACAAACCATAAACGACTCTTAATCTTGGGAAACAAACTGAGGGTTGCTGGAGTGCAGGGGTGTGGGAGGGATGGGGTGGCTGGGTGATGGACATTGGGGAGGGCATGTGCTATGGTGAGCAATGTGAATTGTGTAAGACTGATGAATCACAGACCTGTACCCCTGAAACAAATAATACATTATATGTTAATAAAAAAACAAATTAAGGGACGCCTG